CAAACTCACAGACACACACATAGACCCAAGCCACACACAGAGACCCACAGACACGCACAGAAACCCACAGACACACACAGAGACCCACAGACATACAGAGACTCACAGACACACACATAGACCCAAGCCACACACAGAGACCCACAGACACGCACAGAAACCCACAGACACACACAGAGACCCACAGACACACAGAAACCCGCAGCCATGCTCAGAAACCCACAGACACGCACATAGACTCACAGATCTAGTGGGGGGTGGGGGGAATCATTTATGAGTTTACCCCCAAGTCATGCCTTCCCATTTCCAGCCCTGAGTATCTGTATCTGCCATGGGTTGTGCGGTTGCGGTTTAGGGTTGGCAAGCATAGCTCCAGCAGAGACGACTCGTCTGTTAAGACGATGTGCCCGGTAGGTCTGTGAAATTCATTCACTGACAATATATTTCTATCGACTACTTTTTTGTGGTTCGATTATTTGGGCCGCTTTACAAATCGACCTCTCTGCCTGACGAAGGTGGGAAACCCCCCGTCCATGGCTCGCCCAGCGTGACGATGACGTCACAATCAAAATCTTTATTTCGACTGGAGGAGGAATCCGATGGGCTCTGAAGCTCTTCATCACAGGTGTCCAGCGGGCGTGGGTCAGAAAGTTACAACAACAAACACGACATTGTATGTTCCATGGCGAAGGGCCATTTGTATACGGTATATATTTATTTTAAGGCCACATGGTGTTATTGACAAACGCGTTGCGTTGTTTTTTGCTCGTTTAGAAGTAGCTGATGTAAGGAGACACAAGAAGTGCTGTTTGATGAGTCGACCAATGGAACCGATAATTAATCGGCAGTCGTCGATAATTATTTGTACATACGTATGTTGAACTTCTTTTGTGCCGTACGTAGCCAACCGTGCTAATCGGATGTGCGGGGGAAGGACAACAAACTGAACACAAAAAGCAGCTCTAAAGAAATGAGCTTTCAACGTCGATGATATAACAGTGGATAGCTCCAGTGGCTTCCTAACATCGGAAGGAACAGCGTTCCAGACGTCCGCAGAGGCGCGCGCGATGCGATGGCCCAGCCAAAGGCCGCTGCCGCTGCTGCATGGCCGGGAGTTTGCGTGACGGTTCACGGCACCTTGATTGAAACGAGGGTGCGGAAAGTGTGAGTGGCAGCGGTAGAATGTTGGGAAGGCGCCGTGTCGTGCCACTGTCCCCCTCCGTGTCCCCTGCACGTGTCTCAGCGCACACTCCGCTCCGCCCGCCGTGAGCGCACTGACCGCTGCAAACACGCTCCTGAGTGCTCCTTGTGTGTTGAATCAACGCTACATTAAACATTAAAACGCCCGCATCTCAAATCTACAGTGAGGGGAGCAGCTGTCGGGGCAAGACTTTTTTTTTGCTGGGGTTGGGGGTTGGGGGGCGATGATGGGGGCCAATTGGGGGAGGGAGGTGGGGGTCGTTGGGGAGGGAGAGAATGCTAAACACACTGCCCCGTTCCCAACTATAGAAAGGGCCACGCGTGTGCTCGCAGGAGCCCCGGGTATCGCTGCTCTCCGTGTCAGAGCAATGAGCCCCGCACTGTTGGCAGTCCGCAGGTCAGCGGGCTTCACCGCTGAGCCAATGCTCTCCACTCTGCGTCCGGGCCGTGACGCAACGCTGTGGAGGCAGCGAGGGTTGGTGAATCACACACACGTCGAGGTCGCCATAACACCCTGGCTTGTCAGTAGTAGTAGGAGTAGTAGGAGTAGTAGTAGTTGGAGTAGTTGGAGTAGGAGGAATAGTAGTAGGAGTAGTAGTAGGAGTAGTAGGAGTAGTAGTAGGAGTAGTAGTAGGGGGAGCAGTAGTAGTAGGAGTAGTAGTAGGAGTAGTATGAGTAGTAGGAGTAGGAGTAGTAAGAGTAGTAGGAGTAGTAGTAGGAGTAGTAGGAGAAGTAGTAGGAGGAGGAGCAGTAGTAGGAGTAGTAGTAGTAGGGGAGCAGTAGTAGGAGTAGTAGTAGGAGGAGTAGGAGGAGTAGGAGTAGTAGTAATAGTAGTAGTAGGAGGAGTAGTAGTAGGAGTAGTAGGAGTGGTAGTAGTAGTAGGAGTAGTAGGAGTAGTAGTCGTAGTAGGAGGAGTAGGAGGAGTAGGAGTAGTAGTAATAGTAGTAGGAGTGTGTTAGTAGTAGTAGGAGTGTGGTAGTAGTAGTAGGAGAAGTAGTAGTAGGAGTAGTAGGAGTAGTAGTAGTAGGAGGAGTAATAGGAGTAGTAGGAGTGGTAGTAGTAGTAGGAGAAGTAGTAGTAGGAGTAGTAGTAGGAGTAGTAGGAGTAGTAGTAGGAGGAGAAGTAGTAGTAGGAGAAGTAGTAGTAGGAGTAATAGTAGTAGGAGTAGTAGTAGTAGGAGGAGTAATAGGAGTAGTAGGAGTGGTAGTAGTAGTAGGAGAAGTAGTAGTAGGAGTAGTAGTAGTAGGAGTAGTAGTAGTAGTAGGAGAAGTAGTAGTAGTAGGAGTAGTAGGAGGAGGAGGCTTTCGTAACCAATATCCAGAATCTAGATTTGTGTAGGTGTTAGATCGCGTGAGTATAAATGTGTCGTTAAACCCGCCACCACCCGACGCGGTAACTAATTGGCACGTTTTGTGCACGTGACAAACCTTGCTAATTGGCTGTGTCGGGTGGCGGCGGGTTCAACGACACATGTATATTAACGCGATCTAACGCCTCAACAAAAATTCCTCTTTATTATTGCATCACCACACTCCACGTTGGAACAGGCGCCACGCCACCACTGTGGATTTACCACTCCCGTCTCTTCCCACACGCAATCCTCTTGACAAGGAGTCGTGGCCACGATCATTTGCTGGTTTCATTCCAGCGTTGTTACCACTTCCGGTAGAAATGGCGACTAAAGTTAAAGTTTCTCTTGCATCAGGTGAGAAGAGCCTGTTTGGGACCTGTTTCAAGTAAAATGTGCAACATTAGCGTTCAATAATAAAGCTCAGTGGCCCAAGGACGTGGAAGCTGCTTAATAAAAACGATCGTATTTTCTTAATTTCGAGCTTTCGTGACTGCAGAAATTACTGTTTGGTTCTTTCGGTAAAGTCACGTATAAAGATAAAATAATAATAAATTAAATGTATTATTTTATCTTTATACGTGACTTTACCGAAAGAACCAAAGAGTGATCGTATTTTCTTTATATTACTGAGCTTTTGTTACGCGTGGCTGCAGTGGCTAAAACGCCGCCATGCAATCCTCGTCACCTGGGTTTGATCCATGGCCATACACGAAACCCGCGGCAACGCAGTATATGAATCACTGCACGCGTATCCCCTAGGTCGACTCAGCCTCAATTGAGTTACCGTAAACATCGGCACTGGAGGATCACGCAGGCAGCGGTGTTGATCTAGCTGCCCCTTGTTCGTTATGGGCTGCCCTAATAGGTGCTCGCGAGCAGAACCATTTTTTCGGTGCTGTCGGGCTAAATGGGGGCCGTTTGTCATCGCACGTAAGCAACGTTGAATAATGGACCTGCGTCGTGTCAAGCACACTTTTGTTTTCGGTGAACCAGGCAGGGTTTCTTTGCGTTATCGAGTTACAAAACCATGCCAGCAGCTCTCTTTGCGCGTGACAGCCATCCAATTAAAATAACAGCAAAACCGCCACTTCACAACGCTAAGCAGCATGTGTAGCATACCTGTGACGTGTTCGACATCCATAACATGTAAGGCTTACATTTAAATGAGATGTAGTTGCGTGTGTGAGACGGGCTTGTGAAATGCAATATTTCCCGCAACCGTGAAGCATGTCCCGTCGTCCCCGTGCATGGCCGGGCCTCGCTTTTGTTTCCACCTCCCTCGGGCGGAGAGTTTGAAGAGGCTGCTGCGATGCCCGGAGGTCTGAGCTGAGCCGACAACCTGAGGTCCTGGGTTGGAATCCGGATTTTAGCCACCCCGCAATTGTCGCGAGTTGATTCTCGGAGCCCAGTGCCCCAATGAACGAGCGCAAAAAAAAAACCCCATCGCATTAAATTTCTTCCCGCGATTCACTTGGTCGAATTTCAGATTTGATAGACAGGCGTCACAAGGCTCGGGGCCAAGCAGGGCCAGGAGCTATTGACGCATCCATTGTGCGCGAAGTCATCAATGCGACGCAAACGCAGCGCCATCGCATCACCTACACGCCACTCGACGCCCGTTCGTTGTGTGTGGCGTCAGTGGGTAGCCTGCGAGGACGCGGCCTCGACTCATCACGAGCACGCGACTCGACCCATTGATTGTGCGTCAGTGCGTATGCCGTGATGTCACGGCGTCGCTCCGTCACCTCCGTGCGACTCAGTCATGAATTGCGAGTGATGGCATTGGCGTGGCTCGGCTCGGCTTCTGCAGTGGAAACACGACCCCCCCAGCACGGCCCCTGAGTCGTGCGGCGAGATGTTGACTACCTCGCCTGGTATGCAGGAGGTCGTGGGTTCGATCCTGCTGTATATTTGGAGTTTGCATGTTTCTCTCATCCGTGGTCGCGTGGATTTGTCACGGGGTCCTTCCGCTTTTTTCCTTCCGCATTCAGAATCAACGTGCATTCAGGGCATTTGGCGGCTGTACATTTATTCTAGATTTGAAGCTTTCGTGACTGCAAGGATTCATACTCTTAGGTTTTTTCGGTAAAGTCACGTAGGTAAAAATAAAAAATAATAATAGAAATTATAGAAATAATAATTGTAGAAATAAAATAGTAAATCACTGATTTATTATTTTATTTCTACTATGATAATTTCAATAATTTTTATTATTTATTTATATTTTTACCTACGTGACTTTACCGAAAAAACCTAAGAGTATGGCTGCACATTTGTTCCCACACGACGATGAGCCCCTTGGCCGAGCCATCATTTGCGGCCAAGGTCGCTTCTGAAAAAGAGCTACGCGGCTGGGTGAGAGAAGAAGAAAAAGAAAAGATTTCCTAGTTTTAGTTGCGGAAAAATCGAGAGGTGTAACCCGGCGAACCCGGTTTGCGTGTTGCTGCAGAGCGTGCTGTGGAGCCGGGCGGAGCAGGACGACGCCGCGTCGGTGCGGTCGGGCAGCACCCCGGGGCCTTCGTCGGGCGGCCACGCGTCCCACAGCGGAGACAACTCGAGCGAGCAAGGTGCACGACCCCCCCTCCCCCCAGCCTCCCCCACCCCACCGCCCCCCTCCTCCTCCTCCTCCCCCCACCAGCCCCGCCCCCGTGCGTACACCGCTCACTTCGCTTGCTCGCTCGCCAAGGCGGGGGGGGGGGGCGAGAGAATTAGGGGCGATGGCGCTCCATCAGACTTCATGCATATTCTATGCACTTGGAGCTATACAATGCCATTTGGCTTTCAGGGTATCTCGCAGGGAGACACGACTCGTAGTTACTACCACTGTGCGCATTCACACACACACACACATTGATATATATACATACACATGCTGGATGTGCTTGGGTGTGTTAATTCTGTGTTGGACGTTAGGGGCCCCGGAAAAGCCATCGGGGTCAAACAATGTTGGGTAAAAATGGGGGTCTGAGGCCATCGTATTCCGATGAAGAAATGCCCCAAACGATGCGGCCGGGGTGTGTTTCAGTTGACATTGCAGCGGCACTCACAAACGGAGAATGTGGAATTCGATTCCAGGTCATGGTCAACTTGTAGATTTAGATTTTATTTATTTTGCGCGGGAAAACCAATTTCTTTAGAACTGATTTTTGTGTTTAGTTTGTTGTCGTCCTGCCTCACCTCCGATAGGCACGGTTAGCTACATACCGTGCGAAATAAGTTCAACATGCATATATGGGGCCCTATGGAGCTGTTAGGTTCTATTACACATGCGCCCTACGATGGTACAGATGTTACACAGAACAGGTCTTAGTTACCATCATGGTTAGATAGGTCGCGAGACATCATCATCATCAGCCCCCTGGGAGAGTGTAACGATGAGGCTGCACTGGGGTCATTGTACCTTGCATGTAAATGACTCGGTATGAATAAAATAATGATTAAGGCGAGGGGCTGTACTGAAACAAAAGCTACGTGTCATGGTTTAACATTCGAAGTATGCGACAGCCATAAAAGCTTTTGTTGTGAATGCACTGATGGGCGTATGTATGTATGTTTAACTTCTTTCGCACCGTACGTAGCCAACTACGCTAATGGGAGGTGTGGGGGAAGGACAACAAACTAAACACGAAAAGCAGCTTTATAGAAATGAGTTTTCATTCTTTATTTAAAAGTGCATAGCTCCAGTGGCTTCTTAATATCGGAGAGAAGAGCGTTCCAGACGGCTACAGAAGAGTATCCAAAAGCGCGCGATGCGGTAACCGTCTTTGTAAGACGGCTAGCCCACAGCCACTCCGAGGATGACCGGAGTTCGCGTGATGCCGTGCCATTCATGAGATTGTGTGACCATACTTAGCTCGGCTGGTCAGTGAGTGTTGGTAAAGGTTGGTTGCAGGACTGGTTGAGGTGTCACTCAGCACGCACTCGCTACTCATGTGAGCTGCGGTCAGTAATCGAACTTGGCTTTTACCACTGCGCCACCACTCACCCCTGTATATTACATTTACCAGCATCTGTGGGTGAGTGGTATCATAGATGGGAGCGGTAGTGTTGCAATTAGCGCACTGCATTACGAACCCAGCAGCCCGAGTCGGATTCCCGCTCACAGCCAACACCAGTGACAATTATATTAATTGCTCCTGGGCCTGCCCTAGGTCTACTCAGCCCCAAATGAGTGCCTGGTGTGGTATGTTAAACATCGCCGCGAGGGAGACGACTAAGGCATCCGGACGTGGTGCTGACCACCCACCCCCTCGTGTGCCGTGCTGGCCTTCATAGGTGCTCGCAAGCAGAAGCACTTGCCCCAAAAGTACGTGAAGGTTTACACGGGGGATCTTTGTCATAGCCATAGTGATCACGAATGCAATAGCCTACAGCCGCCAATGACCTGTGTTGATTTGATCTCATGCGGCACGCCGGGTTGCAGTCCCAGCCGAGTATCGAAACCCAGGCGGGCGGCAGTGCTGGCTCTCAGGGCTCTGTCATACGGGTCGCCCAGCCACCCATAGCCCACGCGTGCCTCTCTGCACCGATACCTCGACGTGCCTTAGCCCCGCCATACACACTTGTATGCGTAAAACGCGGAGTCGACTATCCGGATACAAATGCGTGCGCGTGCACACGCACGCCAACACGCGCGTCCGTTCACTCGGGGGACTCGCAGTGGCGCTGCAGGTGTGTTTGCCTGTGACCCGTGGATGCCACAGGCAGGTTAATAATTCATGTGGCAGGCCTTCCTGAGGAAGTGAGGAGAGAGAAGGGCCCAGCCTGGGCTAACCCCTGCCTCCCGTGGGTTGGTCTGGAGCTCCGAGTGTGCCCAGCTATGGGACCTGTGGCAATGCGTGATTTATTCATTAACGTACGCGCAATGAACGGGCAGCAGCAGACTCGCATCGCCAATGTTTGTTTGTTCATCGATCAGCACAGACGTCCATTCATCATTTCACCGAGTGAGTGTCAAGTGAGGTTTTTGCCATCGTCACCTTTGCGAGGGCGATCGGCATCAGTGCAGTGGCGGGGGGAGAGGCGGGTTTGTTTTAAACGATTTGTCGGGAGTAGTTTTCGAACCAAGGACGGGGGCTTTGACGCCGGCACATGAGTACGGCAGCGGGTAGCCTTCTGACGAGAATTTGCAAATGGGCATTTGATGCCCAGCAGCGGTGGAAATAAAAAAAAACCTTCGCTTCCCGCGATGCCGTCCCGGAGTAAAGCGTGCGTGCCGCCCGGCTGCTCGCTTTCCCTGACGTGGGCAATTTGCTGGCGGTTCAGAATAGAATCAGAATCTGTATTTATACCGGAGGAGGAATCCTATGAGCTGTTAAGCCCCTTTTCACAGATGTCCGGTCGGGGCACGGGGTAAGAACGTCACAATAGCGGCGGGTATGAGCCGGGCGTGGAGAGCCAAGTAGCAGCGTGCCCCCCCACCTCCCGAGAAGTAAGTTGGATGACAACGGGAATTTGCAGGACGTCCACACACGCGCTGATTATCTAAAAACCCGGCAGATTAACTCGGGGATCATAGCAATTAAAAGGCGCCGCGCGGAAGTGATTTCCCACGAACTCGCCGCCCGCTCCGGGGCAGCCGGCAGCAGCCGTCTGTGGCTGCGCTGCCTCAGCCGGCGTGAATCTCCGCGCCCCGGAGGCTTTAAACGACTGCGACGGTGCCCGGTTTCCCTTTGATTGCAGGTCTTCCAGACTGCTGCTGAAAAAAATGTTTCGTGGCCGTGGCTCGGATCCCCACGTGAGGGCTTTTTTTGGAAGCGGCCGGGCAAAGCCTTGGCAAGCTGCACCCGTCGGGCATGGCATGCCGTTAGAATGGGATGGTGGTCATTGTAATGATAATACTAATAAATACAGTGATTTAACCAGGAAAGTCTCACTGCGCGTCAAGACTTTTTGCGGAGAATCCTGGCTTGGGATGTTTGCCGGTTCCTTTCATCAGGAGTGTCGTTTGTATGTGGAGGGGAAGGAGGATTGGGGAAGAAAATTGTGATTCGCTGCTCAGAGATAGTGATGGAAATTCCACATTGCTATGGTGGCGGAGAGTCTATAAATGGGACAACCATTGTTGACTGACCTGCAGAGTGGTACTATATTTTATCGACCCTGGAGGAGTGATTGGCTGAGTTTCGGACCGGCCCACCGTCCCGAAACTCACCGACCCACTCACTCACCTATTCACCTGCCCACTTACCTCCTCAGTGGTCCGTCAGCCCGGAACTCACTTACCCACTCACTCACCTATTCACACACCCACTCAGCGATCCGTCAGCCTGGAACTTACCTACCGACTCACCCACCCACTCACCTACTCACCAACCCACCCACTCAGCAATCCGTCAGCCTGGAACTCACTGCCGCAGCATTTTCGAGATTCTTTACAGAAATGTATCCAGTTTAGTAAAAAATGAAAGTCAGACCTCTTTAGTAGAACCTACAGTGTATGAATACTGTGCACACTCGTGATAACCTACGCTATAAGAGTTATAAATATACTCACTTTTGTCAATCGACTGTCCCGAAGCTATTCCGGAAATTCTACATTAATATGACAGGGGCCAGTCTATCCGTAATGATGATAACAATTTCATGTTCAAACACCTTCACATACACACACTCGCTCAGGAAGAGCATTTAAAGTGTTCCATTCGAAGCACCCTTCTGATGTCACTGCAGTGATGCTCTATGAGAGAGTACGCAAGAGATGCTTCAGGGTCATCACCAGAGTGCTCTTGCCCTTGGCTTTAAAGTATATTCTTTTTTCATTAATAGATCATCAAATTCGTGCCTGTCAGCCTTGGAACACCGCAATCCTTATCTGCACCACGAGAGCTAATGTATTGGTTATTTGGGTTGCATCCAATTTTAACCCACGTTAATGATAAACGCTACGATACTTTATATATATAGTGTAAGAGTGCAGCTGTACATGACCTGAGCCAGGTGGCTCTAAAATTCGAGTTGGGGACTCTCAATTAGAAGGTTTGAAGTTGCAATCCCCATCATAGGTCAGCTCAGCGCTGAGGTAGATGGATGCCACTTTTTAGGAGGTCAACTCAAGGGTAGTCAGGCCCACGCCACGGGAATGTGGAATGCACGCCACTAGTTTTGAGCCCCTCCCCCCCCCCCCCCCATGGATATGCGTGACGACGCCTTGCTCGTGTGAGGAGTCAAGACGCCGTGAATTTGAGCGTAACGTGGACCATATGTACGTACGTGTGTATGTATGTCTGTATGTATGTATGTCTGTATGTATGTCTGTATGTACGTATGTCTGTACGTTGAACTTCTTTCGCACCGCACGTAGCCAGCCGTGCCCATCGGAGTTGTGGGGGAAGGACAACAAACTAAACATAAAAAGCAGTTCCAAAGAGATGATTTTTATTAATTTAATATTATGGTGTAGTTTATAGTGCAGTGTATAGAGTGTATAGTGTAGTGTATATTAGTGTAGTGTATATTAGTGTATAGCGTAGTGTGTGTAGTCTATAGTGTATAGTCGTGTATCGTGGAGTGTGTAAGTACGTTGAACTTTTTTCGCACCGTACGTAGCCACCCATGCTAATCGGAG